GAGATGCTGGCAAGTGTGCGCCACTGTGTTAATATGTGTCTGTGTGTGTGTGTATGTATTAGTAATCGACTACCAACAAAAGCAACAACAACAAGTACAACTACCAATGCAGAAAGTAAAATTCATCGTTGCAGCTGCTGCGGCTGCTGCTTTGTTCTTGCCGGTAATGAAGTTATTGATGATTCACGGTGTCAGCCAGCAATGCATGTCTAGCCGTAAATGTGTGTATGCATGTGTGCATGTTGTTAGCAAATAAAAGTAGAGGTATGTACATATGTAGTGAAAAACGCCAACAGATTTTTTGAGTAGCACAAATGCGGGCATAAACCCACTCGCTTTTGCTTTAGTCACGTCATTAGCGTGAGAGTGAGAGTTATTGAGGTGGCGTGTGATTTTTTAACGTTTTTTTTTCAATTTTTTTTGTTTAATTTTCAATTATTCACCTGTTTTCATTTTATTTGATTTTTTATAAATTGTTTACATATAAACGAGATTTATTTATTTACACCGCATCTTAGCTCGCTTGTTGCTTATAATTTCAATGGAATTGTTTTTAAAATTATATCGTGTTAATTTGTCCGAGCGATGAAGTCAGACTTTCAGACAGGTTTTCGAGCTGTTTTCTTTTTTTTTTTTGCTGTATTTTTTTTGCACTCTCTTTTGGAGAAAAAATACATTTGTCAATATCGGATTATTTTTGCATTAGCGGCTTGTCATATACATACATATATACATATGCATGTACACATATATACAAAGCGAAAATTCGCGAGTTTCAATGAATGCCGAACGGGTATATTAGTGATAATATAAAACCTAATTTTGCACATAATGCTGCAATTCACGTCTTTACAATAACCAAAGCGAACGAAAACAGGAAGTAAAATGCTTTTTAATCTTGAATTGTAATCATCAAGTAAATCACATGTTAAAGACTTCGTAAACCTGCTAACTGCCATTCTGTGGTTGGAAATATTCTGGCAATGAGCTGTCCCCAATACAATTAGTATTGCTTATTTAAGTCAAAAAAAAAAAAAAAAAAAAAAAAAATAATAAATAAAAAAAAAATAAAAAAAACATTACTTAAATATCCCTCACACCTGCATTTCTTAAAGCGTCAAAGGATATAAAAAGATCCTTATCTTGATTTTGATTTGTTAATTTGTATGGCAGCTATATGTAATAGTGGTCCGATCTAAACAATATCTTTGGAGTTAATAGGATTGCTTTGGATAATAATCTATGCAAAATTTCATGAAGATACATTGATAAATGAAGGAGTTAATTAGACAAGGGCTTCAGATTTATTGGTTAGTTTGTCTGGCAGTTATGGGATATAGTGGTCCGATCTGATCATTATCTTCGGAGGTTATAGAGTTGTCTCGGATAATAATCTGTGCAAAGTTTTATGAAGATACCTGGAAAAATGAAAGAGTTTTTCATTTAAGGACTTGAGTTTAAATGGTCAGTTGTATGGCAGCGGTATGCTATAGCGCCCCGTTCTGAACATTATCTTCGGAGATTATAGCGTTGACTTGAATAATAATCTGTGCAAAGTTTTATGAAGGTTACTTTTCTATTTAAAAACTTTTCTATACAATGATTTCATATTGATCTGTAAATTTGTATGCCAGCTATATATTATTGTAGACCGCTATTGGAGCTTTTTGGGTTGAACAGGGGTATAAATATATACATACATATATACATGGGAAATTTTGGGATTAAATGCAAAACAAACTTAAGCCTCTTTTTCATGTAAAACGTTAATAAGCTGTTTGTTATTTGTGCGGTTAATACCTCCAAGCATGTTCTTGAACGGATATTATTAGATTTCTGAAACAGTTCAACCTGTTTTGCTGCATTTAATTATAATCAAGAACAAATAAAGCTTTGAAGTGGATTTGATGTTCCGCACTATTTTATAATTAGTAACGGTACATATTTTCTTCGAACTGTAGGAACAGTATAACATATATTTTGGCGATTGGAAGGTACATTGAAGTACAACCAAAATGTAAAACACCGCAAACTTAAAAAATAACGGTACTATACGGCAAAGTAATATTGTATGAAGACTTGTAATATAAAGGACTTTAATCTAGCTGATCTTCTTCGTCTCTACGCTACTTACCGCACTGAGTTTTCAATTCCACTATCTTATAAACCGCAGAATATTGATAGAAAAAATTAAAAATAATAATCGAAGCTTTGAGTCTTTTAAAAAAACTATTAAAATCTTTTAATAGATACCTGTTAAAAATAACTATAATTAGGAGCAAAGTTACTCAGTCTCATACGACAGAAAAAGCACTTGGTATTAGTAACAAATGCATCGGTTATTTTTTAGTGGGTTTTCAAAAAAGTAAAACGCCGAGTTTTAGATTTAATTTTTAGATTTCTGGTGAACATCTTAACTCGCAGACTTATGTATATGAACTATTTCCAAAATATTTAGCTTTGTATTTCAATGGAGCTACCCGGGTATATGACAAAAAATTAAGTACATATGTTTCTTTGAGAGAATATTTGTTTTAGTTAAGTTTTTTATTCCAAAAGTGAGATTTCCAGTGAGAAGCATTAAAGTAAACCAATAATTCAAAATGTTTTCAAAACTGTCGGCTTAAGGTAATTGATCACTATCGAAACAAGGATTGCACGATGTTAATTGGGAAATCTTTTATGCCGCTACAACAACAACAATAGCTTGATGTTTTAATATTTTCAACTCAGCAGCTTAAGAGACTTTGAACTTGACTGGAAAGGACCATTAATGCGAATTTAGAAAATTTTCAAAAGCATTATGAATGATCTCTCTTCTTGTGGCCTACTGAGGAGAGGATATTATTCGCAACACCATCACCCATACACGAAGACCGTGGAGAGTCGTTTCGGCGTCGTTTTCAGAAACTTGGACTGAAATACTGGCGTATTTTACGTCGAGATCTTAAACTCAAGGCCTACAGAATACAGCTTGTGCAAAAACTGAAGCCGGTTGATCTTCCCAAGCGACATTGGTTCGCTTTATGGGCTCTAGAAAAGTTCCAATAAGATTCCGACGTTTTCGACCCAAATTTTGTTCAGCTATGTAGCCCATTTCTGGCTCAATGGGTATGTAAACAAGTAAAATTTCTGACATTTCATTCAGAAAAACAACGGAGGTCCGTATTTCTTCAAAAATGATTTAATCAATGGATTTATTGAGAGAGCACTTCGGTGAACACATAACTTGCCGTTTTAGGCCGGTCGATTGACCACCAAGATCGTGTGATTTCCACTGTCAGATGTTTTTCTATGGGTATACATATGAAAATCCGATTCAGACTTTGGAGCAAAACATCACGCGTGACATTCGCCAATAACCAGTCGAATTGATCGACCGATGGGCCATCTGAGACGTAGCCACAGCCAACATTTGAAAACATAAAATGAAATTAGCATTGCCCATTCAATTTAAAGTTTCTGTGTTGTTTCTTTAAAAAAGTATGAAACCTCGCTTACGCGGTTATAGCCGAGTTTACAACAGCGGAGATTGTTTTCTTCTTTGGCTAGTCCCAAACTTAGCGCCCAACTCTGAGGATTGGAAAGAAGCAAGCACAAGAGAAAAATCCCCACTCCATACATTCCAAATAAATAAAAAATACCAAAATTGATTTTTACTTAACAAATGACCTCCTAAGGCAAATTTTTTTTTATTTTATTAGAAATCGAATTTTTAAATTTTCTAAATCATTGCATAATTACATTATATAAGAAATATGGAATTTTACACATTATATATGCATATATATATATACATATATACGTATATGTATGTATGTATTTAGCTCATATTGCTTTTTATCGATTAGGTAACACCATACTAAACTGCTACATAAGATGTACTAAAATTTAAGTTTGCTTTCATACAAATTAATTTGCTTGTTTTTTTGGTTTTTCCATTTTTTTGTTTTTGTTTTGATTTGTTTTTTTTTTCGTCTTTACCAAATTTACAAAATTTAATAATATCAAATTAGCATAAATGTAGTAATGTAAGTATGTATGTATATTTATTTAATATAATATGCTATAAGTACTTAAGTATAATGTTTTGGTCGTAATTGCTACAAATTTAATTGGCGACTACTAAATTTAATGCTTAACATAAACATAAAGATGACAGGAAAATCAAAAGGAAATCACAAAACATTTGCTATTTATACATAGAGAATACGCAAATATTTATAAAAAAAAAAATATTATAAAATTACATATGTATACAAAATTTGGGGAACGCAGTAAAAATGCACACAGCTGTGGAGTATGCATACAATTATTTATATACATATATGGTACGTTTTAGATATACATGCATATGAACACGCGCTGTTGTTGTTGCTGTTGTTGCGTAGCAGGCGTGATATTGTTGCTGTAATGCGTTTATGCATATTTTACTAAAATTTGCTATTAACAAGCTAATTGTATGCAGCTAACGCAGCTAGCAAGGAGAACACAATAAATATAAGGTTGTGTAGGTAATTGACTTTTCACTTAAATAACACAGTTGTTTTTGTTATCATGTAATCCATAGAAATCACATATTTAGAAGCTACAACAAAAGATTCAAACATTTTCTTTCAATAAATTTAATATGCACCAGCTGCTTTGTTGTTGTTTTTTGTTTTTGTGTTTTTGTTGGTTTTTTTTTTTTGTTTTTGTTTAATTTTTATCATAAATATACCATAATAACAACAAAATAAATTATGAATATATGAAATTAGAATTTGCTGCTGAACGCAAGAAAAACGTTTGTTCCAACAAGGCCGCCACATTTGACACAAAGCAAAATTATGCCTTCTAATTTCGCACAAAACAACATAAATAAAAAAAAAAAACGATTTCATCATTGCACATTTCTGTGTATAAATTGCTTTAGTCATCGCTTTAACCAGCCAATATTTGTGTACCAACAACAATAATTGTTATTTGCGATAATATTTTATTTATCTTTAATTTTATTATTTTTATTTCTTTGACTACTTACCAACGACAAAACAGTTAGCTGTCAAGCAGTTGCTACTTATTGGCGCATATGCTTTATTTCTAATTATGTTGTTGGTTAGTTGGGCGCTTGGGTGGGTGGCAAGGTTGGCTTGTTGGCGGTTGGTAGGTCGCTAGCGTTTGTCATTGTACATTCCTTTTGTGGCGATGATCGTACATTGATTGGCAGCTTTTGTTCTTTTCGATTCAATATGATATAAAGCGAAGGAGCCGCAAATTATTTATGAGCAAATATGTATATTTTTCGCAAACGAGCCTGTTCGAGGCGCATTTATGGCATTTTTTCGATTTTCTCAATTTATCTTTAATTTATTGCGTGCAATTGTTAGTAAAGAGGCGGCTTAAATTTTGCTTGACGTGCATTTCGCTTGCCTTACATTTTCAGCGTACAAAAGTGCATGCGCTCTGTTTGCTTTTTATGGTTGTTGTTGCTATCGTTTAAAGTGCAATTTGTCGGGCGGGCGGTCGGTCGGGTTAGTTACCGCGTTATGGGTGCTGCTCATAGTTAAATTAAGGGTGCTTGAAGGTGCGCTTAGTTGTAAACTATGTTTTTTTTTTTTGTAGTTGCCATTATTTGTTTTTTGCATTCCCATTTGTGTGTGTGTGTGAGAGGTACATAGGTGTTTGTAATATGCTTAGCATTGTTTTAATTTTTTATTATTATTTTTTTTTTTTTGCATTGAAAGGCATACTCCCATTCGGCTTCACATGACAGTTGTGACATACAAAAAATACAATACATATGCAAGTCGGCGGGTGTGGCATCCGCAAAAGTTGTGAAATTTCAAAAAACAAAATATTTTTGGGTGCGTGCACTCGCTATACGTCTACATAAATGCATTCATAAAAGCTACAAGCTTTGCTTAGTGTTCTATTAAAAAAGATCTACCAACCGCAAGCTGCTTTGCGTTCTGATCGCTCATGTGATGATGACGTGATATGCAACAGTTGCAACGAAAAGTAGGCATACTTATGTATGTACGTACTCATGCGTGGCTAAGAGCTTACATAATTTAGGCAGGCGATTCAAAGAAAACAATAATATTAAAGTTAACTAATTGCAACAGCAGCAAATGTGTATATTTATTATGACTTTTTTCCATTATATCACTTTTGCGCTAGTGTTGCCAAATTTAAGAAGTGTATATTTAATTTACTCAAATAAAAAAAGTACAGATAATTGTGATGTTGTTTGCATTTGGCAGCGGTTTGTGAGTTTTTAACAAAATTTATGCACATAATTTGAACAAAGTATAAAAAAATATTAAAAAGAAAATAGAAATACAAATAAAGAAGTTAAGAAAATATATAAATAAAAAATTATTTTAATATTAACAATAAAAAACAACAGGCCGGCATCATGTTGTTGTGGTAGCAGCAAACAGTTGTTTTTATGTTAGTTGAGGCAAAACGCACAAATGTACCCATGCAGTGTTAATAATCCAAAATAAAATTTGTTATAGTTGTTAGTCGGTTTGGTTGGTACATTTTTATTGTTGGCATGCAAAGTGTGGAGTTATTATAGTTGTTGTTGGTGTTGATGTTACGGGTGAAAGTGTTCCCATTTGATATTCAATGTTTTTTGTTGTTTAATTTTTTGTTTTGGTAATTAATTTTAATTTTATTTTTTAATGCGTGTTATGTAAAACAACGAACGCATTGTAAAGTTGAGATTGCGAAACAAAAGTAAAAAAGAAGGAAAAAGAAGAAAAAATAAACAAAAACATATTGTGAGTATTACGAAATGATTGTTATATAATGAGATATGTGTTAGTGGTAATATTACCTTAGGGTACTCGTATTATGTAAAATTAAATATAAATACTAGCCAAGCATAAAATAAAATAAAATTGTGTTTAAATAAGAATAATAATTAGGAATAAAGTAAAATAAGATACTCATAATAATAAAAGTAAAGTAGCGAATGCACTTAATTTTTAAAAGTAGTTTTATTTATAATGCGAGCACAAGTCGATAAAAGTGATAAAAAACTATTATTATAACAGTTTTTAGCTAAATGAGATCTATTACGCTTTCAAATTTGGCTTGAGTTAAGCTTAAGCACACACGATTTTTATATTCGACAACTTTAAACTATTTGAGAAAATATTTTATAAAATGAAAAAAAAAAAAAAAAATGTACATGTCTTTAGATCAAATTGTGAAAATGATATAAGAAAACATTTATATAAATTCTGGTGTTTTGAAAAACCATTTTAACACAACTTCCTGCTACTTTCAAACAGCTTGTAAGCTTTTCTCAAACCTCAATTTGCTGTAATTATGTGTCTATATATTATATTTATTACTTCACATGTTATCGCGCTATGCAACGTATCAACGCGCGTGCTTATCACAATAAAATAAAAGCACTTTGCAAAAATTATCACTAACACATAAATATACCAGCAATCGAAAGCGTAATCTTATCTACACATAACTAAATAATCAAACTATCAAACTGTAAATGAAATGGTGGAAAAACTCAAGTGATTATTTTTGCGTTAAATATACAAAAACAAATACATACAAGTATCTATCTATGTAAAAGTGTACCGGATAACAATAAATTAAATAAATCTTCCGAAAACAAACAAACATTAATTTTTAATAAATTGTCATAAAGTCTTATTAAGTGTTGCATTTTAAGTTAATATTTATATTTAATTAACGCTACATATGTATGTATGTATGTATGTGTTTTTATATGAACGCGTGCACAACTGTGTGTGAATGCACTTTTTACATATGTGCAAGTATGTTGTGTGTGTGTTTGTTGCTGCTTTGTTGAATATTACTTTGCTATTTTTACTTTACAGTTAATTGTTTAATGTGTGTGTATATGTTTTTATTTTATTATTATTTAACGACTTTAATTTGCAATTTCCATGCAATGCAATTCAATTTTCATTCAATTAATTTCATTTAATTCACTTTAGTTTTCTATATATATTTTTTTTTTATTTCAATTGAGTTTTCCAATATATAAAGAGATTTCTATATAGAGAGATTATATGTTTTTAATAAGTAAATAGTTTTTTTTTTTTTGTTAGTTTTAACTTGTTTTTTGTTTTTGTTTTAATAATAAATTGTTGCTATATAAGAGTTAACTAGAGAAATATGCAATAAGTTTGTATGCATGTAAGTAAATACATAGCGTGTTATTTTTCTTATAATACAAATATGAGATTTCGAGGAAGTTCAAACTCATAATAATTTTTGTTTTTTTGTGTGTAAATTCAACTGAAAATTATGTGAAAACGAGCTATTCTTAAAAATGTTTGTAAATGCGCTCTCAGCGTCGATTTTGCTTAATAATTTTTAATAATTATAATTTTTTGTTTGTTTGCTTTGCTTTTGTATTTATACTTTACGCTTAAAAGCAAGTAAAATGAAAAGACCTTCAACTGATTTGTGACTAAACTTTTAACCGGAAATTCTTATCAACAATTATGAAGGGTTGGAAAGTACAATAAATAGTTCTATGTTTTGCTTAAGTTGGTTTATTAATGTTTATGCTGATTTAGTTTATAATTTTTCTTTTGGCAATTTAATGCATATTTTTTTCTTTATTTTAAGATTTGCCTTTTCATTTTCTCACTTTTTGCATTTTTCTTTAGTGTATATATATTTTTTATATGTTTTAAGTTGTGGTTGCTTCGCATTATAACAGTAATCAATAAGATTTCATAATATAGCAAATACATTATAATTATATGTTTTTTTTAGCAATTAATCATTTCATTAGGTAATTAAGTATGTAATAATTCACCAAATAGGCCGCAAAGGCAGCTTACAAATTGGCGGCATTTACGGCCGCATGGCATTACTATTCGGAAACTCTTATCGCGCTTTTACTCCCGCTCTCTAATGTTTGCCAGCAGCAGCCAAGCCAAGTTGACCGCTGTTGGTTATATTTTTGAGGCTTTCAAAACATTTTACTCGTACTACGAGTGTGCGATGTAAGAGCTAATAACTAGTTATTATAATTGTAATTACTTTCTTGTTGCTATAATTTTTTGTTTTAACTATATGTATGTAAATAAATAATAAACATGTAGTAGTAATAATGTAATTGCGTTTACACAGTAAGGCCAAGATATGAAGCAACTATGAGACCCAACACAGTCAAACATAACAGGATCATGATCTTCTTTCGGCGCGCCTTGCTCTGATATTTAAGCGCCTTCTTTGTGTCTTGCGTTGCCGTCTGCACATAGTCCATAGCATGCTCCACATGATATTCAATGCGATCGATCATCTCGCCTTGCGACTCCACCAACATAGCCATATCCATGAACATGTCGTGTAGTTCTTTGATCGATGTCTCCAATTTCATGATATCAGCATGACGAGCCTCTATATCGGCCAGCGTTTGTTTGGCCTGCTGTGTCTCCATGATAATGCCTTGAGTGAATACTGCTGGGTTGCCTTGCTCCAACATGTCTTCCAGTTCTTCGCTGGTCGTTGCACGTCCGGTAATCTCCAGCTGACGTTGTATTCTACCTTTGCAACGCTCTCGGTAATCCGTTTGCGTGCGATTGTATTCTGTCATCACCTCGACAAATTTTCGTGATAGCGTTGAATGTTGTGTTTTGCGTATACGCAAATCGGCGGACGATTTGTTCTGCTGCTCTTCTTGCTCGATATTTTGTTCGATGCTTTTTAGCTTGCCACGCACACGATTTGCATTCTTTTTAATATCGGCCATTAAATCCTCAAGCTCCTGCTTGGTTTTCTCATCTGACTGAGGGGCGGAGAGTATAGCTGAATGCTTCTTTTTCACTTCCTCGACATTGTCTTGCACGCGATCGATCATGCCACGTATCTCTTCCACCTGCTTGAAGAACTCATCCATGTAAGAATCATGGGCATCCACATTGACAGCCACTTCCTCGGACTCTTCGTCGTCGGATTGGGCTGCGTGAAGTGCGGCTAATCTGTCTTTTGTCATTTTGCAGCTTTATTTATTCAAAAACTGAGGTGTTTAAAATAGTTTTTTTGTGGTGCGTTTTTTTTCACTTAAACACTTGTTAAGCTAGTGCGTATGCCTTGAACTTTTTTTTAAATTTGTATTCTAATTTTAACTTTATATTAGCTGACTTATTTTCGTTGACTTATTTTGTCGTTCGTTGGCTTTGTTGAGCTAAATTTTAATTGGTTTTTTTTCAAGGGACAGGTATATAGCTTTGCTCAATTTCAAGACGTTTTTTATGATTTTATTTTTGTGGCAGTTAATGCTCGACAGAAATTCTAATTTATCCTATTACTTATTTGTTTCAAAATTATATTAATTCAATTTTCATATAATACTTTTGCGGAACTTGACACCAGCACAATAGAAATTTTTGCTTTTCTTTTATACGCCAATTCGTTTTTGCTTTTCCATTTATCACTGCTAATTTTGTCGGTCTCACAGCGTACTTCGTGTGTGCAACACTTTCCACGCCTGAATTTTTTTTGCGGTGGTGGGTGGACGCGGGCGGTTGTTTGTGGCCCGTTCGTATGACAATTATCGATTTTTCCTTGCGAAAAGCGAACGTTTTCGACCAACCGCCGTACCGCTGTCTTGATAATAGTTTTTGTTTTAGGCGTTGCTTTTTGATATTTCTGAATTAAATTATTGACTTTTTTTCTTATTTTTGTCACTATAAAACTGCCTCTTTGATTGTGCTATATATTGCAAGTTATTGTTGAGAGTGAATATTATATCAGCATACGAATTTTTAGCATTTGTTTTTTTCACGTTGTTAGAGGGGCAGAATGGATTTAAACGTGTGTGTATTGGTATGTGTAGCGGGTGAAGGCAATGCTCATGGTCAACAAATTCAATTTACTGCGATATCCACAACGACACTCAACAATAATTTGGGCGACATTAACAACGACGACGATAGCGATAGCTTAAGCGACAATAGCAACGGCAGCATGACTCACTTTCTGCCTCACTTTTGTGTGTTATTTTCGTATTCACAGATTATATGTAGCTTTTTTAAGTGCTAACAGTTGTATTTTTTATTAAATATTTTATATAAGAATTAAATTATATCTTGAGAGTTGTAGCTCTTATATTATTTTACATTCACAAATTGTAAGCTTTCGAATTTTTTGCTTTCCTTTTTATAAACACCTTTTATAACCAGCACTTGGAGTACTCAATGGTATAATTTAACACACGCGCAGGGAGAAAAATTGTTGGTATCTGCTGTTGCGTTCGCTGTTTATGATGACGATGAAGGCGATGACGCTGTTGGACGAGCACAATGTCGAAAATGTAGCTTATCGTTGAAAGTTTCCGAACAACAATAGAGAGGGGTGGGTTATGATGGCAAAAATCAGCGCAAATTGTTACTAGAACGCCAAAGCAGCTATGAATGAGAGTGGATTGGATTTTGATTGTTGGTAGATGGTTTTTGTGTATCGGGTTTTCTATCACAATGTTTTTGCTTCTTCTTTACTTTCGTTATTTAAATTCTTTTATTTTCCACTTTTAGCACATATATGGGACTAGTATTCCCGAAAGTTTTCAAAAATGTTTCACAAATTATAATATAACTTTATTTTTGAACTAGTTTCTTTCCATATATGTGAGTAGCCTTTTTAGCTACTCCTATTGTTGTTGTGTGATTCTCTTTAGAAGCGTATAAAATGAAGAAAAAATCGATTTTTGCTCACGGTCTTTTTTACAACCGAACGCGTACGCGCGCGGTTACACCGTTTATGCGGCGGTACGATAGGGCAGGTTAAATAGAATGCAGACGCTTTAGGAGTAGCGTGATAATCACTTTGTTCACTAATTTTGTAATTTTTTTAAACAAAATTGTATTTCACGAAAGAATATTCCGTTTGTGTGACCCTCAATTAATAAAAAGGGCCAGTGTCAGCGTTGACTGATTTTCTTTTGGTCACGGTTTATAATGCACGGACGTCCGGAAAATGCTCTCGACGCTTTGCTGGCTCTTCACAATCTAATGAAAGTAACAAGAGCGCTGCTGTATGAAACTAAGACTGCATCGGTATTCACCCATACACGAATGTGGAATTCGTACGCTCGTGTGGATAGTCTCTCTAGTGCGTTTGCGTTGTATACATCTTCCATCGGGGGAGGCACAAGCGTTGCACTCAGCGGTTCATCTTTTGGAGGCTATACTCTCTGCTGTTGTTGTCACTATTAGTTGTCCAACCTAAGCTGAACTTTCCCGGCAATTTTTCACTAAAAAATTGTAGGAGCATTCGTTAAATTTGGAATGTTTTGTTATTATCTTTTGATTTACCAGCATTATCGTTGATTACACACTTTAACTCTCCAATATTATTTTCCTTATTTGACAGCTTTTTAATTATGCATTAACCACTTATTCGCTGTATTTCGTTTGACAACCACTTTTTATTACGTCAAAGGGCGCAAATTAAAACAACACCAAAAACTAACATAAATACCGTATATGTCGAAATCGGAATCGATGCAAAAATATTTACTTCTGTTTCCAAATTTTACCTATTTAGATAAATAATTACGATTGGAAAATTAAGCTCAAAACTTATGCATAGCAAAATTGAATAAACCAATTCAGAAGCAATTCACTTATGCTGTAGTTTTGTGTTGGCACTTTTGACATTTCTCTTTTGACTATTCGTTGTCACGTAATGAAATGTCATTTAGCGTAATAAAGAGTAATACCACTTTTCAGAAAAGGGAGAAATTTAAGCCACAAAAGGTTTAAATTTTATGAATGGAAAATGTTTCATTATATAAAAATTAGTATAGTTGAATGTACATAAATTGGCATCCATATACTATTGTTGCAATCCTAAGAATTTTCAATTATATTATTTTTTAGTATTAACAGTAGCGATTAACAATATTGTCTTGAGATAATGAGTTGGATATAGAATTTTTTTTTTATCACGCTACAAAATATATATCGATATTTAAAGAAAAGATATGGTTGTATAAGTGTTTGGAATACTTTAGATCTTTACTTTGCATTAAAATTTCATTTATGCACAGAGAAGTACTCACTTTACACGAATACCATTTGTTATCCCATTGGCATACTGCATATCTGCACTGGCTTCATATCATTTGAATAGTAATTAGAAATACTTGGACTTACCGGATACTTTGTTGTCAGTACTATCCCACATATCTCATCACCGACGAGAAACTGTTCACCCAACATTGCCATACAAACATTTTCCCACGCTCGATCAATTTTATTCTTTCGTAAACGTATTACCCACTGGCCACCTTTTGTGTTTGCTGGATCCTCCCACATCGGTTTTATGCCCTGTTTAAAGAGGCTTAATTCCCGATAGGGTTTCAAAGCTGTTGGCCGTATAAGATGCGAATACAATGACCACCATTGTTGTACACTGGCACAGCGTCCTACAACATGTAGTGATTTGCTATAATCCGTGGCACGATGTGTCCCCTTACGTGAGAACCAAAGGCAATATGTATGCTGCAGCCGGTTCTCATTCGGCCCAACTTCTAAGGGTGGCAGTTTATCTACATCTATTTCATTTTCCATGTCACTGTCATCGCTGTCAGCCAGATCTGGCCATGGTTTCCTGTGAAATATATAAAATGTTTTAGTAAAAGTTTAATGTTTTGTATATATTGTATTTTCGAAAAACCACTGCCAATTACAACTTGTTTTGTTTTAAAACAAATGTTTCGTTGAGTTGATTATTGCATATTTGTATTGTTTATACACAAAACTCTAAGAAGTAATAAACTTCAAATAACGTATTATTCTTTCAATGCAAATGCGCTATAACCACAACTCAGTGGGTGCCATATTTAAACATTTCCAATTAAATTTAAATTATACAGAAATTTAAGTAATGTAAATAATTAATTAAAATCTATTATCCGTTTTGTTGTCTATGCTATCATTACAGAAATTGTGTCAACGTCGTCCTACGAAAACATAACCTAAACAATAAGCGATAACACGCGAACATTTGTTTATATTCTCAACAGTGTTTGAATGGACAACCGATTCCTTATTTTAAGTCATGAGACTTAAGAATAAAAAACCGTAGCAATTTTTATATATCATATGGAACGAGTGTTGGTTGTAGCAACTGTTCTTTAAACGTCTAAAAGTTAGCTAACACACAGACGCAGCACTTACGATTCGTACTGTTTGGCTGGCATTTTGTCCATAACTTGAGTATGCAGTGTTATTGGAAGTTTCAAGATGTCCGTTGACAATTCGATGGGCTCGAGAGTATTGCGCCAAGTGTTTGGTGCGCCAATAGGTTTTAGCTAATTGCTTGTTGTGTTGTTGTCAATGCTTTGCAGTTAGTGCGCCTACCGCTACCACTGCCAGCAAATTATCCGTGTAAATCACTGCTACAATTTCAGCGAAGCTTCTCGTGCTTTTATTACGCGTTATTCACTACGTATCACAGTTTTCCGTTGAAAGCGCGTTGTTTATACGTTACGATATCTTTTTATTGATAACTTTTAATTAATAATAAAAGTGCAAATGGCCAAAAAATCCCAATAGTTTTCAAAAAAAATTCCTTGCGATTGTATCTGAGTTTGCTTTTAAATAAAATCTTATAAATTGTCAAAATTTGACATTCCCTTTTGTGTAACAACACGTTGAATTCAGATTAGAAGGCAGACAAGGTTGCAGTAGGCAGGGTTCACCAATCAGTTTAATTCACTTTTCACTTAGATTTTACATTAGTAGAAATATCGAAAAAATTAAGAAGAAATATAAAAAATGTGTATTAAATTAATAGGAAAAATTGAAAGGATATTAGAATAATAGAAATTTAAGAAATTTATGTTAACTACAAATTATTGCGAAAGCTTGTGACGTTGCGTCAATATATTTTTCTGGTGTGGTCTGCAGTTACATCATTTGTTTTCGATATTTATTTAAAGAATACTTGAAAACTTCCTGGTGACTCTAATAAAAACTGTATCTAATACCATATTCAGACTGATAATTTAAAAGATTAGATTACATTTACCGTGCGATTCTGTACTGTGACACAGTATCAAGTCTCTAAATTTGACAGAGACAATTTTTGAGACTTGAGACGATTTTGCTATTCTGTAAGTGATAGTCACAAACTCTATTACATTTCATTATTCAGAGATGTTTTTATACTTGAATGGAAATAAATATGTCGATAACAAATATTAAATTTTCTATAACATAGTCAAAAAACATAATTATCAGTAAAAACATAAATATATGTTCACTTTGTTTCATAATATTAACGAAATTTATGTAAAATTTATTTATTTTTAACCTTTTCGAGTTTGAGTTGCTTACAAAATATGCAATCGATTAATATCTATGATGATCTCTATTCAGTATATTCRAAATRRCAGACACGAGTTCTTTTTGGTTTTGTGACTTGCTAACTACCAGGTCTCAAATTTGAGGCAATATTTTGAGACTAAAGCTGGAGACTGTTTAGTGAATAGGAGCTAGTCAGAAATTAAGATTTTACCACAAAATGTCTCAAATAGAGACTAGAGACTGGTTATAGAATCCCGCTATTAAGCATTTCATAACCCAACAGTGTTCTCACTGCCGTTAGAAAGATCAAAAAACAGCTGTTATTGTCATTCAAGAATTCACATCGCTTAAATTTATCAAAAGAAAAGATTGTCGTATAGTATTTTAAGATAAAAGCCGTAATTTTTTAAATATTTTCAATATAATAGAAATAATGGATGCATTTTTTCGTTTGTTAAGTCGATTTTCAGATGATATTGGATTCATTGCCTTAAAAAAAATTTTTTGTTTAAATTTTTTCCCTTTGTTGTGTCTAAATCAGCTGTGATAATGTAATAGATTTTCAATGCTGCCAAGTATATGGCGCAAAATCACAGTGCACAGAGCGATTTAGCGTGGATCAGTTTCAAAACATTTCGATGAAGTGATTTTGAACTGTCATTTTTGTATGGCGAAGTCTTGATAAATTTATAAGATTAGAGGGATAAACCACTCAACAGCCGAAATCACAAAAAGTGTCGGTCTAAACATTGTATAAGAGACTGCTTAGCTCCGAAAATTTACCGATGCACGAATTTCCCCAGCCCCAATTCATATAGCGAGTATACATATAATGATTTTCCTTATTCCAGCAGGCCTTATGCCAAATAATAGGTTGTCAAAAAAGTCTTGCGGTATTTTCGCTAGTTGGCGCTGAGAGCGCGTAGTTCTAGTTTTATTCGTCACATCGGGTCATGCTATACCTTTTTGGAAAGCTCATTT